ACTTGCCATTTTTGTTTTAGTAATTAATTAGTCAATCTTTTGTTCAAAATGTCTACACAATCTCTTTTTCACCTTGAAAAGTACAACAGATGCGATGTTCTGAGAATGAGCTAACATCCCAAATCTATTAGTTTCAAAACTCCTTGATGAAAAACCATTCTAAGATATAATTCTGTGAAAACGACTCGTTGATAGTTCAACATTACAGACCTCAACTGACACTGTAAATATCCCGAGGCTTTCTGCCTAGGCCTTTGAGCTATGCTCATGTCTCCCTCTATTCTCATTTTTTTGTTTTCTAATATGGTCAACTTTGCCCTCCAGTTATGTCGGTCTGTTCCCTCAACTCTAGATTAAACTGTTAATTTTGCCTAAGATACATTTCTTACTTTCGGAACGGACTACACAGACCTGAGAATTAAACCTTGTCACATAACCCTAGGTTATCTAATGCAGTAACTGCAACAGTACAAAAAAAATGAGATAGAGTTTTTGGCGCAATACAAAAGTTTTGAAGTTTTTTTATTAGTTAATAACTAATATTATGACTATATCAGGGTTTCCTTCCAACATTGTAGTGTCTAGGTCCCCTTCTCTTCTGTCTTCGTATAGTTCCTCCTCAAAACCCATCTTCCCGGAAAACCTCAAACTTAGGTAATTAAACCTTTATAACCAACACGATATACGACGAAACTAAGACCAACAATAAACTAAGACCAATTGTTAACTAAAACCAATTACCAATACCAAAAGTCCTTAAAATAATCAAAACTAAAACCAATAATCAATACTCAAAACAATCCATACTAAAACCAAAGAATAATCGATTTTACTTAAAAACAAATCTAACGCTAATTTTCCAAATTTAAATTAATCGTAATTACGGTAGATCTTGCGTCCTACCGCGCTCGTATCCTTACGTACATAAGCTCTCTTATGACAACTACTTTTTAGAATGAATCGTTCATGTTCTGTGGAAATTTTATTTTTAGGAGCTATTTTATTCTGGCATTGCGTATAAATCTGATGCTTCACACTTCTGATTGCGAATTTTTTCTTTTAGCTACAGTTTTGTCAAAGAGACATTTCTTACAATCTTCTACTTTCAATTCATTTCTTAATGGAAGCACTCTTGCTATGTATTTGATGCAGAGAAATATAATAGAACAACATTTTATTTAAGAAAAAACACACAAGAACAGCCAAATTAAGCTTTAAAAATGACTAGAAAGTTCAAAGCGATGACCTTATATGTATGAGGAATGTAAAATTCATAAAAATTTGATAATTTTCCGGTCATGAACAAGCTGATGAGCGCAAGATTGGAACATCTTCAATTTGAAGAACATTTAAAAAAGAAATAATTGAGAACTCTGATTTAAATTATCTAAAAGCACAGACACAACGTATTCCAAAAATGAATTAAGTGACAGATTGATAAGGCAGACAAACCAAGTGTTGGGGTGAGGGGAGAAAAAAGAGATTTTTGAGTTCTTTTTCAGAATTTTAAATAATTATTTGCCTAATAACGAAACAAAAATCTGCTCCTTGAATGAAAAACAGTAAAAAACCTCTCAAAATAACCTTTCATTTTGATATTCTGAAGATTATTCTTCAAAAACATAACAAAACTGCCAACAATCTAAAGATAGGAGGGGAGAGGGGGGAGAACAGTTGGGAATGGGAGAAAAGAAAGATAGCTCAGGGGGGGCACACACATATCTTTTGAATGTGGTGGGCAGCAAATTCATGAATGCTCTTCCTACTATACTCACAATACTTTTACTATTTTTTTGAAATTACGAAACTAGCTCCACTCTCGGACCAACTAAAATACAATTTTTCATTTCAAAAAAGAAAAAGCGTATGAGCAATAAGTGGGAATCAACAACACGAAAAGTACTGCGCTTCTTATGGCACACGAATTCCGGCCTGGTTATGAATAACTCAAGAGAATAAGAATAAATAAAATACAAAAAGAAGAGGAATTAAAAGATGGAGATCAATGTATAAGATGAAATCAGTTGAGAGAAACGAACAATGAACGCTTCCTTGGATAAAATTTGATTTCCTTCCTAATTTATTTGCTTCATTCAAATAATTATAACTGTTCAAATAGAGGTTGGACAGTGACTGCCTGAACTCGAACAGGTGAACCCGAACATTTCTGAAATCAAAAAAATTATTATTATTTAAAAAATAAATTATTGTACCGTACACAATTCCATATTAAATTAAATCTATTGAATTCGCATGTCGATGATTTCCCATGACTGCGTTTCTTCCTAAATCATGTACGGTACAAAGGCATGTTAACTTTATTAAATAATAGTGCTTTATTTCCAAAAAGAGAAAAAATTAACAAACCTGATCATCTCCAAGAATTCCATTCGAGAGATCTTGACTACTTCCATTGCTTGATGAGCTAGAAACAGAATTTACTGAATTTGCTCCTCCTTGCAAATCAGACTCTGGCCGTTGATCATGTCCTCTTCTATAATCAAATCTGATCATCTCGATTAACTATCTATTATTTCTTTTATGTACCTTCGAGCGTTCATAAAAAAATTTGCAACTGTTGTAGGGTCCAAACCCAGTTGCTGGCTTATAGTCATTTGCATTTCCCTTGAAGGCCTTTTAGTTTCTTTGAAAATTGCCTGTGAAAGATGGATGTTTGAAAAGGTGTTCTATAAGCAACTTACTTGTAATGTTCTTCTTTGAATGTCCGTGAAAACTAGGCGAGGCTTTTTCGGTGGTTGGGGCTGATTACATTGCACTTGCTGTTCTTCTTTCCGTTTACAGGCTGAAAAAGTTTTTCGATTATCAAGGTCTCAGAGAAGTTCCACAGAACAACTATTTTTTAATATTTTTGTCCTTAGAAAGGTTTCCAAATATTCCCACGCGTCAACCGATATTTTTACGTGTACTTTGTAAGCACTTTGTTTCTCCATTTTTGAACAAACGCTTCCTCATTGCTTTTCATTCCAAAATGAAAAATGCAAATCCTGCTGTTCACCCACGAATATGAAGAAGCCTCTTGTTTGAAAACTGATGAAAAGGTTCTGCATGCAAAACGTTCATATGTTTCTTCCCTGATCTATATGGATGGACACAGAATATTCGTCTTCTTCATTTTTTTTTCGTTGCTTGACGAGCTCTCATTGCAAACGAAAAAAAAGAGAACTCTCATCTTCTTTTATGGTCTTTCTTGTTGAAGTTACTATCGATTTCCAATTTACATGGAGGCTTCCCGTATCTTTTCATTTAAGCCAGAAGACCGGCTCGACATTACTTACGATACGGAAAAATATTCAAATCACAAATTTTCAATAGTTCTCAACAGCAGAAGTGACGAGATGGAATGAGTTTTATGAACAGCCTCTTGAATTTGAAAATTCAATAAGCAACAGCATCTGAAGGGAACTAAGTAGAGCCAGCTGGAAGCGCTGAATCCTATTGACCAATTTATCACCAATGCTTCAACCTATCGATCATATTCAGAAATAGGAAAGTTCACCCTAAGAAAGCAATTAACAGCCCATCACATGATTATTGTAATCACTCTGTAATAACATCATGCATCTGTTAATTCCTATCGTGGCTTCCCCATAAGATCATATTTGGAACTTCCTCCTACTCAGTTACGTCATGAAAAACGTCTACACCATTTTTGTTGCTTCTAACAAAAGCTCAGAGTTCAAATGGTCCCTTCTTTCTTCAACTCAATAAGAATCAAAACAGAAGGCAGAAGTAGAGAGAAGAAAGCTTTGAGACCAACTAGCCATCTATGGGGAATTGCCAAAGGCTGTCCGACCCGTCAAAGCATCGCCTCATCCATTTCAAACTAATCAATCTTTTTCACTATCGAGCCGACGAGAAGCCAGACGTCAATGCTCTGAACAAAGCTATTCAGGAGAAGCTCAAAACGCGGAAGATTTTGAAAAGAGAGAGTGAAACAGATATGAAGAGAGAGAGAGATAGAGTAAGATAGTTTGAGAAAGAGACGAAAAAGAGGTTAAAAGCTTCATGAAATAGACAATGCAATTTAATAGATCTATCTATAGATATGAAATACTACGATTAGTCTCAAATCACCGTTATGCCAAATCAGATTTTGTAACTTTAACGACAGCTTCTCTTCATTCATGATATCATAATAACCAAACATCACACCAAAATGACATTTTATTTTTCATAGATTATCATATTTTTACCATTTTTGTCATCAAAATTTAGATTTTTCGAACTGTTCATGAACCCTCTTTTCACATTATCGTTGAACTGAGAGAAATATCTTATTACTTCCTTCAGAAGGGAGAGAGTATAAGAGAAAGAGAGAAAAGGTCATTGGTAGACCGAAAAAGAAAACCTTCTGTCATCTGTAAGACATTTGTCATGCTTATTGTGCTTATTCTAATTATTCTGAATGAAATCAATAGATAACCTCCTTAGTTGGCAGTAAAAACACTTTTTTTCTCTCCTTTTCATCCCTCTCTCCATAATTTTATGTCTCTCATCATCTATATCTCTTATATCTTCATGTTTCTAAGCAATATAAGCCTCTTCAGCCTCGATCCCAAACAACTATTACATCTAAGAGAGTATGTAAATGAAGAGACAAATAAGGGATAGTACCAGCTGCCCATCGAAATAGATAGTCGACAGATGGCTGATGGTTCTTGTCCCAAACCGTTCATAGGTCCCTCTAAAGCCCAATCTTTCCGTCTCTTTCTCTCTCATTTCTCTCGTCAATGGCTAGCCTCCGTCTTTATCCACTCTCAAATTACATCTTTCTCCCAAACCTTTCAAATAAAGATGGATATGCAAAACACTACCTGCCATACGTAGAGCGGACATTCGTTGAAACTCTGGCTCTTGTAGCCATTTGGCCATACGTCGGAATGTTTCTCTACCACTTTTCAACTTTGACCAAGGCTTTGGATTGCGTAATAAATCTGAGAGAGTTCCTTGCGAGCTGAAATATAACATGTGATGAACAAGGAATATCATCTGAATCCGGATATTTCATATAAATTTTTTGATGTGTACAATAGAAACCTAGCAATTTCCGCATCATGGCTTATATGGCTGTCAGACGCTGTTGAGTCAAATGTTTTCTTTTCTCTGCCTCTCTCTTTAATCGTAAAAAAAATTGTTGAAAGCCAGAGAACCTTCAAAGGCGTATTTCCTTATATACACAAAATTTTACTAATCTCTTTTAGAGCAATCAGAACCCCGATAACGACAGACGTGCTCACACAATTTGGTGCGCCACATTTGGCCATAATCAGGTTAGATGGTCTAACGACTACATCACCAATTCAGCTACAACAGCTCAAACCGAAAGCTGAAGAAAAGATTAGAACGTTCCTCAGACTATTCTTAAACTGAACAAATCGAAAAAAAAATCAAATGAATTGAATGGTTTAAGCTGTGACGTAACGGTTTTGCGATCCGCGTGGGTTCCACTTGTACTTCTCACTCTCGAGCAAAACTATACGTAATAAAAACTGTGAAAACTACATACTTTGCCAAAGGCCATAATTTAAACATCAAGAAATTTAGAACTGTGAAAGATATTTCAAATCTTACCGACAAAGAACACGTTGAGCAAATATGGCTTGAGGGATGGAATATCTTTTTAATTCAGCAGAGATTTTTTGAGCCAAATCCTAAAAACAAAATAATGAGAACAATCAAACAAATCATTCAAAAAGGGTTGAAAGGCAATGATCAATTACGAGAAATGAAAAATCTAAATACCTTCGTATTAAGTTCTTCTCCATCATCTAGGTCATCATCATCTAAACTCCCATTCAATATTGGAGAACCTTTTTTAGGTGATGGTGACTGATTGGATAATAAACCGACGTCATCAGAATCACAATCACCATTCGCATATCCATTATAAGAAAAACAGTCCTTTTCTAATTTCGGCTCCCTAAAAGACGATTTGATTGACTGGCTATTCGGGGGTGAGAGTTAATCAGCTTCTTTTCAGCTTTTCATGGTTTTATCGGTTGACATCCGACACAAATCAGTTTCATTCATCCATTTGTGTAGACGATTGAAATATATTGAAAAGCATACCTGAGTTCTAAGCTGTTATATGCAGCAGCATAGTTCGATGGAGAAAATGGATTATCAGAGCTATGTGACTGAGGATCGTTTTGGCCTGCAAACATAAAACATCAATAAACGAAACACAAGACAATTTATTCCATATAATTCCCTTGTATGGAAAGTTCATGTAGGATGATGTACAAGTTGTATCTCAGGTTCAAAAGCTTTCAACAGAATTGTGTCGGAAAAGAAACCGGAGAACACACTGTTGACAGACATGTGAGAAAATTCTTTTATAAAAAAGATGATTCACTATACTGAAGAGAAAAAAGCGTGATGATAAAATACAAAAAGAAATTGATGACAGATGGATGAAAAAGTTGTTCTCTCCTAATTTCTCTTTAATTAAAAAAAACGTTTCAGAATGAGAGACGTGAATGTGTACCAGAGAAATGAGAGATAGAGAGATATGTGAAATATTATCGGATGTAAGCGGAGGCAATGGGAATATATGGAATTCGAGAAGTGTGCACATGGAAAGTTTGTTGTATGAGAAAATTCCTTACCTCCAGGAGAGTCTGGTTCATCTTCTGTTTTCAATTCATATTCATATTTGATATTCGTCACATTATAGTTATTATATCCCTGGCTAGAAGGTGGAAAGAAGTAACTGAAAGTAATAACAGTGAGTTCGAAGCTCATATATTTGAATCTTTATTGTTCTCAAATAAAGTTTTTAAAGACTATTCTTTTCTTATATTTAAAGACAGAAAGTCATTAGACTTACTTGCTGTCTTGTGATCTAGAATCCCTACTAGGAGAGATGCTAGAACGTCGGTATTTGTCGGAACCACCGTTCGATGTAACAGTTGAGATAGGGGGTAAGGGTTGTATAGGCTGTATAGCCGTCAAAGTTGCATAGTTGTTTGAGAAACTGTAAATGTTTAATTTTCAACAAAAAAGGTTCCTTTAACAAAAAAATTAAATAAAATTGTTTTTTTTTGTTTATAAGCTGGGGTGAAGCAGTCTCTCATTCGGATTGATGCGTTTGATACGCCAACATAGAGACCATGCACACACAGAAACACACGCGAACGAACAACTGCACAGAGTAGAAGCCATTTTTAAAAAAAGATATATTGGGGAATAGCTTGTATAATGATATTGAAAGTGAAAAGAACAGAAGCAAAAGCGAGACTGAAGATTTGTGCTACCTGTAAAACTGAGAATACATCTCCTGTTCAAAGTTTTAAGATTTTCTCTATAATCTTTTCCGTTTTCGGGCTGGATCAGATTACTTGAAGCTACAACATATAATTTTTTGTGTCTACATTGAATGATTTAAACATATATGGAAAGAGATCAGATAGAAGACAACTATATAGGATATTGGGAAAATGAAAGAAAAAAATAGAATTGAAAGCCAAGAAATTCACGACGTGTTGGGTGGTCTGAAGCTTGTTTGAGCTTTGACACAATCAAATTCAGAAATAGGCAGTAGGGGGCTGACTGACTCACTCAGATTGTCAATTTGGGCTCACCAAACGAATGATGTTGTGGAAAATCAGAATGAGACGACAGAAGCTGAACGTTGTCGTCGTTTGAATTTGGCTTTTCTTCTTCTTTCTTGGATAGGAGAAAAAAAAATTTTTTTTTTGGAAAGAGATGGGGTGTGGCCGACAGAGGGAAGAAGCAGTAGATGAAAAGATAGAAAAAAAAGACAAGACGGATAAGAGAATGAGGCACGAAAGGGAGGAAGGAATTGAAAGAAGGAAGGAAGGGTGAGATGGTTGTCAGAAATTATCTAGTAGATTGTCTGCCATTTGAGAAGAGAAGAAGAAAAAATATGAATAATTGCTTCAGAATTTAGATGTCAAAAATCAAACGGACAGAAGAGAAATCTCTTGCTGATAATGATGTATATAAAAGGTTTAGATGAATAGCTGAATATCATGTAAACTGAATGAGAATCATCAGTTTTTCCCACGATTTTTACGTGGATTGGCGAGCATCCAGAACGAGACCCAAATTTGAATGAATCGAAAGCTTTCATTTTCTCTCCTTTTTTTTTATTTTTCGTTGAAGCGTTTGACTTTTAGGGCAATCTCTCTCTCTCTCTTTTTTTTATAATTCAGTCTTGCAAAGTAATTAGTTCGTTAATTTCCTAGTTTGCCTTTGTATACGAGTTGAATGTCTTCTGGCTTTTCTTCCAAACCAATCACTCTCTTCTTTCTTCTTCCACCCCCATCTCCTTCTCTCCCTTCTTTCTCTCTATCTCTCTATCTCTTGAGCTGGAAACTCTACCAAGTTGTATTATAGAAGCATTGATGGGAGCAAATCGTCAACGAGATGAAGATGTCTTTCAAGGATAGATCATGAACATATCTGGCTAACATCTGCACTTAAAACCTTTTGCTATTCTCTAGAGGTTTTATGCGTTTATGTCTTTTTTTCTTTCATTTTCAACATGTTGTTCTGTGGGTGTCCAGAATGGCGGAAGTACCTTCTGTAGACGAGAAAGAGAGAGAAAGAAAAACGTTTTTTTTTCCAATCTCGCCCCATAATTGTGAGCAAGTGTTGATGAAGAAAAAAGAAGGAGGGAAAAAAAAGAAGAAGTAATAAGTCAGAGAAGAAAATATTATAAAAGGTTATGAAATATACAAAAGAGGTGGGGGAACAGAGAGCAATAGGAATGAATCACAGAAAAAGCTGACACGAAAGAGAAGAACATTGTGTTCAAAACACATTTTTTTCTTCTTGTATTGTGATTATTCTCACACATTTATGTATATATATATCTATTTCTCTAAATGTATAAATTTATGAGAGAAAGTATATGAAAGAAGGGGGGAGGGATGATGCTAGAGAGAGGAAACAGCTCACAGCTTAGCAAGGCTGTTATATCATACAAGGAAAGTAACACAAAAATTACTGTTATGAGAAAAAAAAGGTTTTTCTTTTCTTTCCGCTTTTGATTCCATGCTCTAGGTATATTCTATCATAGCTCAAAACAAAATCTTCGGTTTGGGCTGGTGCCACCCTTGAGTTGTTTGGTGACCAACATGCATCTCTCTCTCTCTCTCTCTCTCTCTCTCTCTCATTCTCTTCGTTAACTTCTTGTTCTAAGCAAAGATTCTTCTTTCTGTGATTGTTAGTAACTACAGAAACAAACTTATAAGCTATTCTTTTAAGGAAGCACAAAAGCTTTAATTTCGAAAAATAAAATTTTCTTTTGACAGTCATCAACAGACAGAAGGTTGGCGACTGTTGTGAATGTCAAGAACTGGGATTTCCAAAAACATAATTGTAGTAATTAAACGGGAAGGTTTTTTTTCTGATTTTTATGACGGGAAAAAGAAATAAAATGATTTTTATTTTTGAGAATGACAGGAGAAGCAAGCAGTCCTAAAGCCGTTTCCTAAGCAACACAGCTTGTTATGGTCAAAGATTTGACATGCTATTCAGTTTTATACAAAAGAATATTCTTAATTTGAACTTTTTTGTATTTTAATCAAAATATTTACAAAAATATTTGTTTTTGTTGATTCATCAATGTTCTTTCTCCTAACTCTCTGTTTCTTCATCTATTCATCTCTATATGAGGAGGCATTACTCTTTCTCTCTCTAATAGTCTCTTCATTTGAGCGTATTTCCATAATTGGTCTTGACCGAAACACGCTAGTTTCTGTCCCTCTTTCTCTCTCTCCCTCTTATTCAGTTCCGAAAGCTGTCTAAGCGGGCTGGGTGAGCACAGGCTTGGTTGTCTGGCCTCCGGATGCCATATGGTTCCTCAAGCAGCAAGCACCGGTCGTCGGTCATTGCCACCAACCAGTAAACCATATATGTACACAGAGCTATATCTAATGATATATTTAGAAAGAGAATGAGGTCAAAATAGGCTTAAAAGAGGATTTTGAATAATTTTCAAAGGTTCTGAAAGAAATTGCAGTTTTGATCTGAAGTGAGAGAGAAGCGGGAGGAAAGAGAAAGAGATAAAGAGCTTTGAGCAAAAAGCATGAAATATGTGAATATGCGAATATAATTATCGGAACAAAACTTGTAAATATTGCAATGGTCAGAAAGAGAAAAAAAAGTTTGTAATGAGGAAAGTAAGTATGGGCGTATGAATGGGAAGAAAAAGAAAAATGAATAGAGAGAGAAGGGGAAGGATAAACAGGAGCGAAGAAGATGAGGGAATGATAGAGTGGAACGAGTAATGTTTTAACTTCAAATGGCATACACAAAAAACTTAATTATCTTATGTTCATATAAGAAAATAAAAAAAGCTTCACAGACACACACACGCACACACACGCGCAAACACACTTGACTAATTTATACTTTATCAACTTCCTAAATTAAGCGGTTTCTTCAATATCAAGCTATGCTAGGGTTTGTAACTATTGAAGAAGCATTAAAACACAGCTATATCTACGATAATACAAAAATAAAGGGTAGGTATATATATCAACATATAAATATTTAAAATAATTTGAAAGTCTTACCCGTATATGGTTGCCGCGTGAGGACTGCCTCGATGATGCGATCCGCCATTTCGTCCACCAACTGATCCTGTGTATTCGAAGAACTCCACATCGACCTGATGAGGACTCGGACTACCGTGAGGACTTGCATGAGCAGGGTGTGGACTTGACATTCGCCTTGTAAGGTGATGTAACGGACTACTTAACGCTGCACTAAGAAGCGGGTCCGCAGCTAACGAAAGACCAGCACCGCCGCTCTCCAAGGCCTCCATGGTTGTCTGTGGGCTCCTCGAGTCTTATAGGCCTGACTGACTGACAACCAAGCTAGAAGAGGGGTTGGACACTATGAGCAGACAGAGAAGACGACAGAAAGGGGGAGGACTGCCTGGCTTGCTGCTGCTAGCAAGCTGGCTCGAATGGACAGAATGAATGAGGAGGAGAGCATCAGGGATGAAGAGGAAATACGAGAGAGCGACAAAATGAATAAGCTTATAAATAGAGTTGAGAGATAAAGAAAGTGGAACAGAAGGCTCAACCAGCTAAGGCGAGGTTGAGTTGCTTGAAAGAGCTGGACAAAGTATCCAAAAGGGAGATAGGATAGACAAAGCTTTTGTAAGAGTCTATCCACTGCACGCAAAGGAACAAGGAAAACTGAATAGAAGAAAGAATAGCAAAAATTAGATATGAAAAGCTGAAAAGGTTAAAGCTACTACCAACCAGCTGGACAATGACCAGACAAGTTTTACTTGCAGACTTCATAAAAATAAATATGTATATATATAATATATATATACTATATAATGAGAGTTTCATGAATGCTCAACAAAACTGAAAAAAATAAAGAAGAGATTCGCCTGAGAAGGAGAGAAAAAGAAATTTGAAGGGAGACCTTGAAAGTCCAGGAAAGAGAACGCAGACCAAAAAAGGAATGCAAAGAGAGAGTATTTGCAGGAGAAACAGAGAAGAAAAGCAAGCTTCTGGTCGTCATTAGATAACGCGGCGCGACCGCTTTGCGGGCTCACCCTCTGAAGAACAAAACGACGAGCTTAAAAGGGAGAAAACGAAAGATAGAGAAGTATGTTGGAGATATATGAAAGAGAAAGAACATGGTTAGAGAAACAAATGTTTGAATGTTGAAATAAAAATGCACAAAAAGATAATAAATGAAAGTCTAAGAACCGAATGAGGAAAAAAAATTGAAAAAATGAAAACTAAGAGGTGAGATGTACGATGTACGAGTATTCTAGTTTATGATTACGTTTTGAAAGCTGTAAAGAAGGCTTGAGAGAGCCTTCAAGTGCTTTTTCTTTATCAATTTTACTTCAAACTGACTTTCCAAACAATATCTCTGTGAAATGTTCTGTTTCTCTTCTGCAAGGATATGATCATCCAAATAAACGTTTAGTACAACCAGCAAGTACTGTGAAAAGTATATTTTGACGAAGGTCGAATAATGTTTTTCCGTTACTTGCCTTCGATCTTCATTATATGAGTTTGAAGTATTAATTTTAATTTTTTTTTCCACTCAGAAAACTCATTTGAATTGTTGACAAAAAAAAAGTTGAGATGTAAGAGATATAAGCTGAGTTTTCTATTAATCTCACGATGCCGTACGTATCTACTCCAGAAATGAAATAATTATGATCAGAGAATCAAAAAGTGAAAAAATCATAGCTCTGGTGTACTTTTCTTTTTATAGAAATTGAAAGTCTTGATTGAAGTTCAACTTATACATTTCTATCTTGGAACTCTTTTGCAGTGTTTATAGCGTATACGTTTCTCTCTTTTTCAGCTCTGTGAGCTTATTACTGTTCCAGATTGGTAATTGCATGCTGCATAGCGAAATGCATTCAGATGTGTTGTGAAATCAAGGAATACACGTAAAAGAACATATCGTATTAGCATAAAGCTCTTTGTTAGAAGCACTTGTTACTACGAAGATCTCAAAATAATCTTCAATAACTAAGTATATCTTGCTTATTCTGCTCCACTTACAGATTCGTACGACATAGCCGAAGTTCACTTATGTTTGATTTCGGATTTGATTTTGTTTTTAATAGGAATTGCAGCACATTTTACGTTTCTCACTGCGATTAGCAATGTAAATTGTCGAAAGTGCAACGCATCCTTTCACATTGAAGCTCTGTTGAGGAATTTCAAATATGAAAGTCTCGTTATTTGGAAAATGTAGTTCACTGATAGATAATTAATCCGTTCCATGTGATTCAAAATGATGTTGGAAGAAATAGGAAGCTTGTCAAATTGGAATATTTCAAAGAGAAGAGCTCTTGTTTTCCCACCGTTGAGATGCACGACCGCCCACTGAATAAGCAAAACTTCAGAATAAAACTTCTTCAAGATTCATTTACATCAAGATGGAAGAGTTAGCAGCCGTTCATATATGCACAACTGCTAGGAGCTATTTTGAGTGAAAAATGAAGGTCGATCATTCTATGTTATGAATACCATGGTTACCGGTTGTGCTCATTTGGTGAGCACTCCTAATATGTTGTATTTTCATAGAGAATCTTCCGATTGTTCAGGTGATCGAAGTTTTAGCTTTCTCTTAATGAGGAAAAACTAGCAACAAAAAAAAAGTACAAAAATTCATTGAATCAAATGCAAAATATATCAACGTAGCTTGTTAGCTGATAGCGTTTTCAAATAATCCTCTTCGAAAGAGTTCGGTATGGATGAGTCAGTGAAAAACTGATGATCCAAGTCTAATCTGGGAATCTAAAAAGATAATTAGATTGATAAACTGATTTAAAATATTTAATTTACCAAATTGTTAGATTGTAAAGAAGATGTTTCGGTTATCCTCAGCATATCCACAGTTCTAAATGTGTCCTCTGGTATAACAGATAATTCAGCTGAAATTATATTCTTAACATGGCTAGCAGAGAGAACTAACCAGTTGTTTTACTTTGACGATCGTCAACATAGTAAAGAGATGTGCTTTCACTTGATTTTCTCAAATATGAAAAGCTAACAGGCCGATTACGGAATACGACAGGATCTACTGGCTTCTGAAAGAAGTTATTCAGCTTGTTAATTCCTAAGAGAGTAAAACTCACTCTCAAACTTTTCATTTCCCCTGCTTCAACTTTGATAGCATTATCAACAAACTGATCCAAATTAAGATTTGCTAATTCTTCTTCATCAATATTAAATTGATCACCCAAATATTTGACCAAATTTTTCATTGTCATCCTATAATTAGCATAATTATTATTTTTTATATAGGAAATGAAGATAAAATGACTTTTTGCCTCCAAACCAAACAACAGCATTGGCCATGTTTTCCATTTTTCTACCAGCATAATGTATTTTCTTCAGAAGATCAGCAGCTATTTCAATGGCCATAGTTGTAAGTGACAATCCAACTCCAATATAAACCAATGTTATAAATAAATAATCAAAACTATAATATAATATCATTTACTGTATTATAATTTATGCATTTTTACCTTTTCGGCACGAAATCTCCTAATCCGATGGTTGTCAATGTGACAAAATTAAAATAGAATGCTTCAAAAAAGTCCATTTCCGGTTCATATACGGATAGAACCTCAAACGATAGCTTGAAATGCCTCTTAAGGAAATTTTAATCCTCACCTTAGCACCCATGAGTAAGTATAAAGCAAAAGTTACGGCTAAAGCTATTGATTCGTCTGTTTTTCTGAGATTCATAAGAATATATGAAAGAAGAGAATTGGTATAGCTTATACCTTTCCTGACTTTCGGCTTCTTCATTATTTTCTTCTTCATTTTCATTCTCAGCATCCACCCCATTAACTTCTACATGTCCTTCTGTATCTTCCGTTAATTCTCGAGCGGTGCACAGATCATTTTGTACTTTTTCCTTCCGCCCTGACTTTTTTGGTGTCTGAAATAAGTTTAATATAACAGTGTGATATTATATGTTAAAAACAACTTTAAAACAAGTTTTACTCCTATGAATGAGCCAACGACCTAACTGCAGTAGTTTTCTCATGCAATGAGTAAAAAACATGCCCATATCAGCTATAGTTAATAATGTTAATGGTACACCCAACACTCCATATATTATACAGAACAAGCGTCCATAGAATGTTTCCGGTGCCACATGACCATAGCCTGTAATGTGTGTGTTTGGAATGACAGCTCAACCGTTCAACGTTTTCAATTTTTCTGAACTAACAGCTCGCTCAAGCAATATGCTAATGAAGCCAATCGTTAATTATGCAAATGAACTGCTTACCTATTGTTGTTATTACAGTGAATGCAAATATTAATGCATTTCCAAAAGACCATTTGTTCATTTCCTCAATTATCTCTTGAGCTATAAGTTCTTCTACAAACATTTTTTTTTTCAATTCTACTCAAACTTTCTCAATACCTGGACTCAGTGCTGGCTCAATCGATTCAGTTGGATCAATTGCATAAGCTGAAGTAGCTTGGACTCCTTGAAATTTGGCAAATTGATAACAACTATCAATGTTATTTATGTTCAGACTCTCCAATTCATTTTCACGACAAGTTGTGTCATTGAAAATTCTGAGAGCAACGTGACGCAAGCAAGCGTGAACCTGTAAATCTTGTTTTCATTTATTTTCATCCTTGTGGTCAGACCCCGCCATCCATTTCTGACACTTCTGAACCAAGGAACACCTGGGTTATACGTTGCTTTTCTTCTCTCTTCAAACGAACGGAACTTAAAAAAAAGAAATTGTTTTAAAACGAAAGTTATGATGGAAATATGTCCTACACAGATCTGGGTGATTCGAGAAACTGCATCATCAAAGCTCCAAATATAGTATAAGCTATAACTCCGCATATTAAAGATAAATGGACTGCAACAGTTGAAGCCTGAAGATAATAAAATGAATGAAACAAGAATATTCGAAAGGTTTTTTTGTTGAAATTGTTTTTCTTACAAAATTAAATTAAAAAGAACATACGATTTTAGTTCGAAGTTTGTCGACGAGAAGCATGTTCAAGCAGAAGAAAAATCAAAATGAAAGTTTTATAAAAAGAAAGAGAGAGAGAGAAAGAGAGAGAGAGAATGAGGTAGAGAGAGAAAGGTTTAGTAAAGGGTAACGAAAGCCAAGCAGCCAGAAGAGAGGTTGAGACAGGAAATGCGTCTTTTGACTCCTTTCACTATTATTTCTAAGAAAAGACATCATTCATTGTATATTTTGAATGAAACAATATTCGAACTGAGAGCTTGAGAATGAAATGAAAAAAATTGTAGAAGAAACTTACAAGTTGCGGATCAACAGCTACACCAACCTTCTTAAGGAAACCCATGTGGATGTCTGAAGATAAGTAAAGTGAAAAGAGTCATATTGCAGCAAGAAGAAAAAACTTTCAAATGCATTAAACGTAGAATTAGTGACATGTGCTTCTAAGCTTCAGAAGCACAATATCAAAAATGAAAAAATGAAAACGTTGAAGCATCCAATAAACTTCGAATGAATTATAAATGGAATTGCCGAAAGACAATTTGAGAGAAAACATAACCAAGCCCAATTTTATTTTATTTTTTTTATGGAAAAGACCTTAAAGGAAGTATATGACGATGGTATGTTTTCGTTTTTAGAGCTCACAATGAGCCATTTCAAAGTATTCTCCTCTTTTGACACTAATATGGTTTGTGTTCTGCTTGTTCTTGCCAATGTTGTCAAGTTGAAAGATAGAATGAGTTAAGTGAAACAATAATTTATGTACAAAAGAAGCTTGTTTGAGATGAATAATTTGTCTGAGATGACAGATGAAGAAGAAAAAAAAACAAAAAATGTAATTTACATAACAATATTTCCCTGATTTCTTTGTTTGTTTTCTTTCTTCAACTCCTTCTCCATCAAATAGTTTCCGGTGCGAGAAATGAAGGTGAAGAAAATATATCCTCCAAAGATAATTCCGCCTATAAGGAATCAAGCGATGGATTATTGTTGTTCTGTTGGTCAACTTACATCCAACGAGAATTAAGTATAAGGCTGGACGAGTGAGCAAGAACCCAACCAAGGCTACAGCTTCCAACACATATACAAATGATGCTACTACCTTAAATTATAAATAGTTAGTGTATCATTCTTTTTTTCAATTCTGTACTTGACGATGAAGATGAGAGCCCAAGAAGCTTCCGATTGGAGCAACGGTAGCGGCACATGGAACAGACAACATGAAGTATCTCCAGGCCATAATATCAATATCTCCCATCATGGCAGCTCTGTAGAAGAATCCAAACACAGCATTGATTCCTTAAAACAATAATATTAATGTTTCTGCTGACATTTTTTGTTATGTCAAATGTAAGTTTTGTTCTAATGGTTGATAGGTTAAAAAAACACAAGAAATAAGATCAACATCGTCATCGTTTAGGAAGTTGTACGCAGCCTGCGTCAGCAGACTCGTTCAGACCATATTTGATTGATTACATTTCATGGTCTTTCAACTTCTAACGTTTAAAATTGATTACATCATTCACAGTTTCTCTCTCGCCTTCTCAAATTTTCTTTTTCGATCTATCTTATGATTGTTAAGCCCATCTGACCAAAATATCGGTATTGCCTAGGGCTGGAACAGTTCCTTGATAGTTCACAAACATCACGAACTCTCCTATCTATGTCTTCTTACTAACCTTTCAATATTACAGTTGTGGGTGTTGCTGTTTTCTCCGTAACACGGAATAGTAATGTAATGATTGAGAAGATGGCAATGTCAATACCTGATCCGGCGAAGGCATCGAAAACGCCTAAAACATACAATATTATATCAACGTTACTGATCTTAAGAAGAGATCATTATGTTCTCTAAACTAACCTCCGACAAATCCTGTGACAAGGAGAACAACGGCTTTCCATGTTTTGAAATCAGGAATTTCTTTGAATGTTGAACGCTTTTTCTGAGAGTTCAGTAAAGCTAAAGCAATGGCGAAAGCTGTCCAGATGGCCACGAATAACATTTTTTTTTCTGGTCCGGTGAACAGTGGATCAATCTGAATATGGGATGTTCAAAATTCAGAATACACGATGAAATTATCATACAAAATGAACTCCAATAATGAATCCTGGAATAGCTCCTATTGTTCCAAGTATTACTGCTCTACTTTCAAACTTGACTTTCATCATAACGACACATGTTAAAGCGGATGTCATGCCTGGAACAAAGTTTTTGTTTGTTCGAAAACTTTTTTACATTCTGTTACCGATTGATTGACACATAATAGAAAAATCTCTAGCTATAGATGGAGCAATATGTAAAGCTAAGGTCATTACAGGGAATGCAACAGCTCCACTTCCTTCGGAAGTCATTCCTTTAATAAAGATTAAGTTATGGAAATCATTTTTTCCCTATAAAAACCTCCAACAAATGATCCTAAAAGCATAGTGACTGGCATGTGCCAGTATTGTGGGTAATATTGGAAAAAGTTGTGTCGAATGGCTACCATCCACCAGACAGTCTAAACAAGAAACGGATTAGTTAATGAAATCGAAATTAAAAACATGCGAACCTGAACTAACAAGAATGGAATTGCCATAGCTACAAATTTCTTATATTTGATGAAAATCAAATCTGAGAGAGTAGGATTGGGAGGAAGGTTTTGAAGCTCTTTCTCAGCTTCCTCATCCAAATGTTGTCCTGTAAGATATTAGCCATGAAAACCAGTAAGAGAATTAATAAAGTTTACCTTCAAGCATGTATTTCTTGCACCATCTTTTAATTTTCTGTCCTCTTGTTAAATCTTCTTCAGAAGCAGTTATTGGAAGTGCTTTTAAGCCATCTAAAAATTATTATCAAATTATGAACATATGAAATGAAAGAGTATTACCTTGGGCTGGAGTGATTTGAGTAATCTTATTCATTACTTTTATAAGATTGGTGGCGATATGATATCGATTTGATGAAACAGTTCAGATCAATAAGTGAATATTATTCTGATGTGAAACTTTCCTTTTCAATAAAGGAACAGACTTATTGGCTCACATTTTCTGTCCATTTTATATCGGGAAGCATACAGTACCGCCCACACGGGTTACTGTAGACGCGAGAGCATGTTTTAAAGAGAATTTATCAATTCTTTTGTTTCGGAAAAGAAAAATCTTCCTTTTTTTTTCTATTTTATGATCTCAAATCAGTTTACTGTTTAAAGAGAAACCCTTTATTGTTCTTCAACTTGAAACTTGGAAAAGCCCTTTATGCGCTTCTCATCTACCGTACCTACAACAACGACCTTAGTTAGAATAAAGAAGATGTTTGATATCACTCTGAACTTTCACTAGCATAACAAAAGCAGTATATGCTGACTACTGGATGAACTTTCTGATCTTTAATAGATCAGTTTCATGTGGTTTTTGTGGATCTTGCTGTATCTCACATCAATCTGGTTATGAACATGAATTTTGCAAAAAAAAAAGCATAAGTCATATTTCAATTTAATATGAACTTCAACGTCTACAGTTCAACTTTTAAATTCATCTTTCATCGTTGTATTTCATCTAATTATCTTTCACTCTCTCTCTATCTCTCTCTTAGAATACCCATATCATCCTAGTCCACGTAAGCCTCTCGAAATAGACGGCAACAATCTGTTCTCATTTAATTTGTTCTAAAAATAGATTTATTTTTGTTATCATCTTCAAACTTCAAGAACTGTTTAATGAACTTTCATTATTCAACTTGAACCCAAAGACATAAATTTCCGTTTTTTTTCGGCCATACAGAGTATGATGATGATCAAGGAATGATTGTGACAAGAAATTCCTTGAAATTCCTTTTTGTCCTTTACCATCCGTCTATGTCCACTTCATCATTTCCGTTTATGATCTATCTCTCCTTTTTATATTATCAAACTTTCTATATTTGTGTAATTTGAAAGCCGTATTTGGCACAAAACTTCAATCACCTGACCCACAGGAAATGCTGATAGCGAACCGATTTATCGTTTTGTATCATCACAAAAAGAATCGTTGGAAGTTCATAGCGAACGTCGAAAGACCAATGGTTAAACAGGTTTCCATCTTCGCTCATCATCAATATCGTCTGGAAAGCAAAAATTGTTAATATTATCAATTAAATATTATTATTAACAAAATTTATATTATAAATATATTAATTATATAATTGAATCTAATATCTCATCCTTGAGTACTTTCATCCATTTGTTCAATCAACATCGACAGCCATTTTCATTCGAAATATCTCAATAACATAGATCTCATTAATATACATATATGTATGTACATAGATACATATCTATGATATAGTCAATATCATTAAAACCTTCTGTTGTTATGCAATTAACTAGACAATCAACCTCTCAAAGGAGTTCGAACAGTCTCCTACTGTTCACACCACAACTGTCCGCAACAAACTGTACGTATAATATTTCATATTATAAACGTATCCGAAATTCATTCATGGAGCCTAAGTTGATTTCACTTTTTAGCATCTTCTAATGGAATACCCATTTAGCGCGGCTAACTTTATCAAACATTTCCCAACAGCTATCTGTTGCTTGTCCATTCCTTCAAACATCTATGCAGCACATGTTATCCATCATGCTAAATCTAGACTGATCGGAAACTATCGGCTTTCCTTCTATGTGTTCATTGTAGCAGACATCATGTATGCATTATCATATTCATTCCTGGCACCAGTAACTTGAGAATTAATGAACAAAAACTTCATTTTACCTTTTAAAGATGTTCTTATGTAATGTACATACAGTTGGCTTTGTTTTGATAGGACCTATGAACTGGTTGCCTCAGGCATTTTATCCTTTTTTCATTTTTTTTCATCTTTTCTTATTTGGAACGATATATTTAACAGCAATTAACTCATATTTATGTCGGTATTTTCATATTTGCCGGTAAGTTACAGTATTCTCTCTCCCACTCCCTACATTCTCAGCTTCATCATACTTCTTCTCAGTTCCCCACAAATAAGAATGAATTTTCAAACAAAATAAAGAAAATGTTTAAGACCGCGGGTGTTCCATATGATCCGCAAATATAAAATGCTCTTTATATTATTTAATTTTCTGTTACTCTTCTTCCTAGCTCTATCATTCTATGTATTCTATGCTCCAAACAAACGTTCATTAGAAGCATTGAGTGAAAGAAGCATACAGACATATGGATATGTCATTGGGGATAAATATTTTCTTAGTTTATCATATGAGGTATAATATGTCATTAACTATGTATGCAACACACGTCTTGCATACCTTTCATTGTTTTTAATATATAAATGTTTAATATCGTTTTAGACTATATTTGAATCGAAATCAAGATTTCTTGCTTGCTCTTTCATTGCTATAGTCAATTTTGGGTGCTTCTTCTCATGTGTCATTATCACACGTGCCTTATGCCAAAAGCTATTTGGAGATGATAAAATAGCAAATGTTGAATATCGTGTAACACAACGATATTTCTTTTTTCTACTACTTATACAGGTAGCTCATTGAAACAGCTTGCTGATTACTAATTAGTATTGAACAATTAAAATATTTTTTCCTCTTTTTCATTTTCACTCATTTTTTTTCTGCTTTCATTTGAAACTAATTCATTCTATCAATTTGTAAGCGATCTCTTCTTGCTTCTGTTTAGAAATTTTCTCGGTTAGGCTGTTGCATGTATTCTATAGACAAACTAAAACTTTCATGATGTTCGACCATTTTCAGATTGCTGTACCTTGTACTTTCTTGCTTGCACCCTATCTTATAGCAAATTGCATTGTCTTGTTCAAATTGAGCCCATACATGTGGAGTGGGTCATGCATAACAGTTCTTTTCTCATTTTATCCTTTTATTAATTCGCTCACATATCTCTATGTTAAAGATTACAAAAAATATATTTTCAATAGAGTTACTCATACAGTAGCATAAACTCCATATATTGCAGATTAACTGTTCTTATATCCTGATGTACATAGTTGTATGATTTGGTAAATGTTTTTTGTTTTTAATACTATCTATGTACATACATATATAGTATATATTGATTGCATAGCACACTTCTCAATAGCCACAATGAGTCAAAAATGAAAAATAGCATAGTTAGCTTGTAGTTCTACTACTAAGAATGCGTATTGAACATGGAGTATTGAACAAGCGATCAGGATACTGTACAACCTATACCGATCGCTTCTTTTTGTAGCAAAAAAAAAACAAGAATAAACCTTTATAGCCAAGGGCGGCATTGTGCTTCAGTGTCAAGTGAATGTCCAATCATTGACTATAAGAACTATTACATTGAGATAAGATGCAACTTACTTTGTCATTTAGGTACGCAAAATTATTTTCCTTATACTGTGTTGGGGTCTTACTGCCGCTTGGGTTGCTAGTGAATCTCTTATTAGCGTATGTAGCTTATAAGTGTAGAAAGAGAGAAATCAATCACTATCGTATATTTCTATATTTATTTGTATTCAATGATGTTCTTTTCTTATTTTCTTACACAGCTATGACACCGGTAGAAAGAATGATCTCATATATGATCTCATCTCATATTACTCAATAGATCTATGTATTCAAATCAAACGTCGTCGTTCTCCTTCCTCTCGGTGTTATCCGGAAAACAGCTTACCCTATATCCATTATTATATCATATGGTTTTGCTATCACATTTGGATGTTTTACTATAGTATTGGGTAGTTGTTTCATTTATCGATATGTGGTCATATGTCGGTAATGAAATATTTTGTTATTTATTCATAACAATTATCTTATTCTATCAGACCTGAACTTACTAAACTGTTAAGCAGCAAGAAAGGATTAGCATGCATTTCATGCATCCAAATAAGCTTCTTAATTTTTTGGATATTAGTATGTGGTTTATATTTTCACCCGAATAAGGAAACACAAGAAACTTTGGGATATCAGTCGCATACAACATTTAGAGTTATACTAGAAGAAACATACTACTTCGTGTTTGACAGACAGGTTTATCTCAGTGCATCTGACTGGTGTTCGTCGATGCGCTTCAAAGACATTTCTTTCAGTTCTTATACGGAGCACAAGCATACTTTCTTACAGCTATTGTAGCAATGCTCCCACTTACAGAAGGCATACTAACTATAGTTCTTTCATACAAAATCATTGTAAAATTGCGTGAAAGAAGGAAAATAACCAAAAATACGCGTGTAGAATCAAGAAGCTTCCAAGTTTTGCTTTATCAGGTATATATTTACTAATAGTTATGTTAGTACTCAATTTATATTTTTTGAAGTGTTTTGTTCCTGCTCTCTGTCTGGGTACTCCAATGCCAACGTGTATCATGTTTGCTTTTTGTGGAACTTCCGTACCACCATGGTTTGGATGCATCTTATCAGGGATGCTGTCCGTATACCCAATCATACATCCGATCACTATTTTGTATTTCATACGTGAATACAAAAAATTCCTTTGTTCTCTTATATTGAAAAACGTTACTAAAGTTGTTGCTTTCTTCAATCCACTACATGGCTTGTCTTAATTTGCAAACTTGTATGTATATCACAAAGATCATGAATAATATATTTTCATTTTTTCAACTGCAACGCTCGGGTAGTATTCATTAGCTAACGACTCTCATGTCAACCTCATAGCATTCTTATATTCTCTCTTTCTCTCTCGCTGTCTTCCCCTCTTACTCAGCCTCTCTCTTTCTCTATCTGTTTGTCTCTCTCTATTTCTCTCACTTTTTCTATTTCCATTATATTTTAATATTCAAAACCAACTGATGATATGAAT